GCGGGTACAGCTGGCTCTGCCTCTAGATAGGCAGAGCCAGCTGTCACTCACGCAGCTGGGCAGATCCCGGCACAATTGTCAGCATCCGCTGCGGCGTCTCAGTATACCGCGAGCTGCAGCTCCCTATATACTGAGCCTAGGGTGACGGGGGGACGCTAGTTTGTGTCCTCCCGTTACCCTAAGGAGATCTATGGGGAAAAGCCTTAACCCCATAGTTCTCCTTTAAGCCTCCAGCGGTGCTTGTGACCACCAGACAATCGAATTACATAGAATGGGCCCAATAAACCATTGCTAGTGCAGAGAAATTGCAACAATGAAATTGTGCAAAATTGTCACACACAAAAAGTTTGCAAATTGCAACAAAGTATTCTGTGGCAGAGCCCGTCGTTTATAATCGAGTCACCTACTGCTTGGCCTTCCAATGCGCCATTACTGACCCAAAAGCACAAGAAAGGTCGGCTCCAATATGCTCAATATCCTATAAATATAAAGATTCTGTTCTGTGGGGTGACGGAGCAAAACTGGAACTTTTTGGGTCCCATGGATCAGTGGAATGTCTGGAGGAAGAATGAAGCCTACGCTGAAAAGAACACTCGGTGAAGCATGGTGGTGGCTCGGTGATGCTCTGGGTCTGCTTTGCATCCTCTGGCACTGGAAACCTGCAGCGTGTGGAGGGCAAGATGGAATAGTTGAAGTATCGGGAGATCCGAGGAGAAAATGTCATGCCCTCTGTGAGGAAGCTGAAGCTTGGGCATCATTGGACCTTCCCAACAGGACAATGATCCCCAGCATACCTCAAAGTCCTCCACAATGGCTGCAGAAGAAGTCCTGGAAGGTTCTACAGCGGCCACAGTCACCTGACTTGAACCCCCATAGAAAATCTGTGGTGGGATTTGAAGGAGGAGGTTGCAGCACACAATCATAGGAATATTACTCAATTGGAGGCCATTGCTCATGAGGAACGGGATAGGATTCCTCAGGAAACGCTCCCAGAAGCTGGTGTCTTATCTACGCATCTCGTTTGCAGCAAAAGGGGCGCTCTACTATGTACTAAAGATGCTTGCAATCATTCTGAGACCGCAAAAGTCATTAAAAGTTACATTTTCAGTTGAATTTGGGGAAACCACTTGAAACATTCCTTGTGTTGACCTATTCCAATTGCTTTTGTTTGATTTTGTTCATTGCAAACAGCTAAAAGTCTGTAAATATGGCCAATACACCGATTTAAAATGTTGCAATCTGTACTAATGCTGCAGCGCTGACAGTTCGGGCTCAGGGCCGGCGCACACCTAGGCGATTTATCGCGCAAAACACAGATTCGCATTGAAGTCAATGGAGGCTGCTCACACCTTTGCGGTTTGTGGCGCGACCGAAATCGTCTGTCGCGCGACAAGGTGCAGGAGCTATTTTCGTCAGATGACTAAAACATGAATTGCTTGCTCATGGTTGTTGAAATTTGCTCTTTGCCTCTCTGTCCTGTATTCTGTCCTCTGGCCAGTAGGGGACGCTCACTGTGTGTCCTGTATTCTGTCCTCTGGCCAGTAGGTGGTGCTCACTGTGTGTCCTGTATTCTGTCCTCTGGCCCGTAGGTGGTGCTCACTGTGTGTCCTGTATTCTGTCCTCTGGCCAGTAGGGGACGCTCACTGTGTGTCCTGTATTCTGTCCTCTGGCCCGTAGGTGGTGCTCACTGTGTGTCCTGTATTCTGTCCTCTGGCCCGTAGGTGGTGCTCACTGTGTGTCCTGTATTCTGTCCTCTGGCC